GATTGTGGGGCTGGCGCGGGATCGGGCAGTGTTTCATTCTGCTGTGCATGGGGTCGCTATGAGTCGGAAATGACTTGACGGCACTTAACAACAACTAACAACATGAGTTTATATGTAAATGGTTTTTACAAAGGCCTTACATTTGAGAAAGTGCAGCATGAAATCATTCATCATAATAAAAACAGACTTGTTACTGCTTTGCAAAGTGACAATTTTAAATGACTCAGCAGTAAAATTTTCATTACTCTCCTAGAAAAACTTTCTCAAAACTGTTTCTTTCCCCAAGTTTCATTTCATCCTCAACTACTCCGAAAACTTCTAAAACTAGAACATAATTAAGCATACACAAGTTTCAGTACTGCTCTAAAAATAAGAACCCAAAGGAAGCAGGAGTGGATGCTAAATTCATATTTTAATATAACAGAAAATATGACTCATGACAAACTTTTCTAAGGTAAAATGAAGTAGTCCTTTAAAAAAAGAAAATTCAACTTTAGAAATGTTTAAACATGTATTCATTTCCTTGTTGGGAGCAATTTTCATGGTTTTATAGGAGCTCTGATAACGTAGTGCCTAAGGCATTTGACTGCCAACCAGAAGGCTGGCGGTTCAAACCCACCAGTCACTCCTCAGAAGGAAGGTTGGGCAATCTACTTCCGTAGTGATACCGCTTCAGAAACCCAAGGAGGGGGTCGCTGTAAGTTGGATCTGACTCCACGGCAGTGAGTTTAATTTGCTTTTTAATAAAAAAAAAAATATGCACAAATAACTATACTTTTGAAATTTAAATATTACAACCCAAAATTCCATGGATTTGTCCCCCAGACAGATCAGCTATTATTGTAAAATAAATTACAAAGGACTAGTACCAATAGATAGTTAAGAAATTTATTACCATTTACCTGTAGTAACAAACATGTGCTCTGACATTTTTATTTATTGTTATAAAAACTGAGTTTTTGATGAAGGCAGTTTAGCAGGACTATGGTTGTGAAAATAAATTTGAATTTCGCAGTCCTTTAAACTAAAAATCCAAGCACATGAAAATTTTTCTTTGCTATATACATATTTTCATGTAAACACAAACAAGATCAAGAAAAATTAATTTAAATATCATTGTCAGCAACAGAAATACATAGATTTTAAAAGTTGTTTTATTTTACTTCATGCTTCCATTGAACATGACTGGCATAAGCAGAGCAACAGATTTTGATAAATCTTCACATTCCCCTCACACTCTTTTCAGGAAGTTACATACAATAAGACATCTCTCCAGGAGAAAAGAAAATATTAGAGTAATTAAGACTCCTGTAAGTCATGACTTTTGCTTTACTGTGAAATTATATTTTTCATCATAATCTGCCAGTTGAAGTGAGATAAAGCTAACACTGGCAGGATTCAGCACAACACACTTGGCAGCAAGTTAGGCACAAGGATGAGTAGACTTCCCTCTTAATGTGGATCAACCATGCATTAGGAGACAATGGCTTCCAGAACAAAACAAACATTTTTAAACCAAACAGATATCTTAACAAACTTATTTTCTACAGAGGTGTTTCTTGAAGTATGCCAGAAGGACCACCTGAGTCAGAATCAGGCAGAGTGCTTAATAAAATAAAAATGTGTATTCCTGGGCCTGTACCCAGGAATTTGAATGGTTAATAAACTCCCCTGTGTATAGTAAATATACTAAAGCTTAAAGATCACTTTTTCAGACTATTTGGGTTTTCTCTCAACTCTTTCTTTTGACCACAAATATTTCATTATCTCTTTCATGCATCTTATTTATTACCCTGAGGGGAGAGTGCAACTTCTATTTATGTCATCAACAGTGATATCAATAGTGGCATGTTTTTTCCCTCAAGAAAATATGGGAGTATAAACCACGTACAATGATTCGGCACCTAAATCTGTTAAGGGTGCACCGTAGTATTTTTTTTTAAAGCCTTCAAAATGTATATATAATAAAAAATTTTCAAAATGCTTTGTAAACTGTCATCTGATCAAGATTATCCAGTGTAACGAGAACTGCCATTCAGTGTTGTTGCTGAATCTCACAAAGGTCCCTCATGGTCTTCATTCACAAACACTGAGCATCTCAGCAGGCAGTCCACAGCACTCACCAAACAATGTACTTCCTACCACCAAAAAAAAAAAAAAAAGAGGCCAAACCCACTCACATCCACTGCCATCGAGTGGATTATGACTCATAAATGCTTAAAGAATTGCTCATTGAAAAAAAAAAAGAACAAAGAAAATAAAGCTTAATTTCAACTCCAGCCACAAAAGGCATCTCAAGACCAGTGCCAATATGTATAATGAATACAGATCATGCTGACTTTCCTGAGGGAAAGTCTAATCTCATATATATGTATTAACGGCTTGAAATCCAGTTTATATTGATAATGGAAAGCATGATATATTTCAACATGCTACTAATATCTACTATAGTGTTTAAATTCCGTAAGATCCCTATGGACAACAATTTTACCTATAACAATAAATAATTAGAAATTAAAGAGGTAGGTGATTATCATCGGAAGATGATTCCAAAACATGTTTATTGATATACTCAAATCTCAAGTTCTTTAACTAGACAATGAGTTCCGACACCATTCCAATTGCCCTAAGAGTAGAGTTTCCTTTGTCATTCATGATGTCATCAACCTTCCAAAGTCCTAAGTCCTGACACCATGCCATGTACTCTTCAAACATTCAATTTTGAGAAATATCTAATGTAGTAAAATGTAAAAAGTAATACTGAAGATCAAAGAGCGATGCTGAAGTCAGACTCTTATAGGGAGAAAAGCACATTAGGGTTGGACAGGACCTTGGGGAGTCATCTAATCCAACTGTCTGGTTTAACTAAAGAAACAGAGACTCACTTTTCCACTGGCTCAAAACACTAAATTTCAGAAAAGAAGCTATAAATCTAAAAAGAATTTTTCATGGTGAACTTGCCAACTTATTAGCCCATGATGTAGTGGTGAGGCTGTACTTTCAGCCCTTAAACCCCTAGTCTGCAGTCCTATCCCTCCCTGTTGACTGATAAAGTGTGCCAATGGTTACAGAGAGAAGCTGACCAAAGGCCCTGGATGCACCAAGGGGGCAGATCATCAGTGAGAGAAAAATAATTTGAAAGCTGACCTACCCTATTAAAGTTTGCTCTGAATTTGGATCATGGCTTAACGTCGTCCCTTCTTTGGAAGAGACATATCTCTGAGCACATTTTCAAACTCCAGCTCTGTTTTGGGTAAGCATTGGGACAATGTTGTTCTGCCCAGCAAATTTAGAAATAACAGAGCTAGACAATTAGAGACAGGTGAACCTGCAAAGCCAAGACCTACAAATACTATTTAACTTCTCAGTAATTACCAGTCACTTGTTTTGCAAATCAAAAAGCCACCTTATTTCCTTATTTATACAGGATTTTTAAGTTCCACTTTCAGAGAGTGTTACCACTCTAATTTTATTTTTCCTTTTCTATTTTCCAGACTTTCTGTAATGCTTTCATATTTCCTTCGGTAATTTTTAAAACTTAAGCTATATTTTAAAAGAGAAATTTAGTCTAGAGAAATTAAAAAGCATGCAGAGTTGTCTCTTGATTATGAAACATCTAAACCCCACTGAGGTGTCTGTGGTACAAGAGCAGTCTCAGGAATCTGACAGATTTTTGGATACCAGCTCCTCCACTCACCTTCAGCAAGATTACAACCAGAGATCTGCTTTCTTCATCTGAAAAAAGGAAGAAAATAATACCTGTCTCACAGGATGCTGTGAGGATAAAATGACATACAGTTCCTGGCACATGGTTAGGTTCAATAAGTAGTAGCCCCTTCTCCCCACTACACTCAGAAAGCATCCTTGAGTGAAAGGACTCACTGCAGCCTGCAGCCGCTGCCTATTTACTGCAGTTCACTCTTAGATTTGCAAGGGTGCTTTGTGTTTTCAATTCTGCCCTATTGCTCTAAAGAATCATTGTTGTGCTTAGAAAAATGTCCACATTTTTTAGTTGTCTCCTTTAAAACTGTACATGCAGATAAAACATTGAAAAAAAAGAACTATATTCCTAGAAATGATAATGAACATGTTTCCCAAAGCACGTCATGTATAAAAACAATTCTCAAAAATATGACTAAATTATTTTGTACATTGTATGTTAAAGTGCACCAAAGTAAATGTTAATGACCTTTGAAATGTCACTAACCCCCTTGAGTTATTGTTTTAATAAAACTAAATATTTATCATTGAGATGTATGGGGTTTTGGCTCCAATGATGGCAAAAGCAGCAGTGTCTTCCTGAAAAAAAGAACTGAAAAACTCAACTAAGCATTCTTTAGCAGCATAAAAATACTTACAATTTAAAGCAATTTCAGGCTCAATAAAGCATAATCCTGATTCCCACTATAAAAATAAAATCAATCAAACAAAAACACATCTGACCACCCTAAATCAAGGATTTCTCTTGAACTCTGGAGGTAACATTTGTGATCACTTTCCCATTGTGTACCTTTGGTGACCGGAATCCCTGGGTGGCACGAAGAGTTAAGGGCTAGACTACTAGCTGAAAGGTTGGCAGTTCGAACCCACCCAGAGCTGTCTTGGAAAACAGTCCTCAGGGATCTGCTCCCAAAAGATCACAGCCATGAAAACCCTACAGAACAGCTCTACTCTGAAACACATGGGGTTGCCAGGAGTGGCCCTGACTCAACAGCAACTAACCACAATCCTTGGTAACAGAATTAGAACTAATTAGCATTCTTTTTCACACTGCACACACACACACACACAAATCCTATAAAAAACAACAAAGTGTATGTGAGGAAGTAGTGTGAAATTCAAAGTCAGATAAATAATATCCATCACCCAAAATGTCCAACAGTTCCAATATTCACACCACTGTCCGATGTTCCCCACACACGTAGACAGCACTGGGGCGTATTCGTCGCCGTGTGTGACCAGGAAGACGAGGCAAAAACTTGAAGGACTTAGGCATCATGTCCAGGCAGGCATCATGGAATTTCTTAATCCTCCAGTAGTAAATCAGGGGGTTCAATGCAGACTTGAGGTAGCAGAGCCAGAGCAGCCAGGTGCTTATCTCAAAAAAGTTGTGCTTATAGTAAAAATGTTTATTAAACGTTGCCACAAGGCTGTATGTGGTGAATGGGGCCCAGCAGACAATGAAGACAGCAAAGAGAATCAAAATGGTGGTAAAGGCACGTGTTTTAAAGCCCATGTCAATGCTCATCTGGAAGGGTCTCTGTAGACTCATGAGACCAAGTTTGCTGGCCTGGCTGAGGCATATACCCTCAGGGTAACTGTGGATCCTCAAAGCATTGTGCCGAAGGGTGTTGAGTATGCCCATAAATGAATACAGTATCACGAGGAATGGTATGAAAAAAGAAATGAGAGAAATCAAAATCACATAAGCTTGGTATCCAGGATTGGTTGTGTACCCAAAAACACACTGGGGAGCTCGAGAAGGTATCTGGAGATCAGGGTTTCCTACAGCCAAAGGGAAAGCTATACAAAAGGAAGTTGCCCAAGAAACAGCAATCAGAACCTTAGCCCTATATGGATTTAGCTTATCCTGCCTCTGTACTATAATAAGGAACCTATCAATGCTAATGATAAGCAGGATGGCTACTCCCTCTATCACAAACAGCCAGAAAAACATAGCAGATACCCTGCAGAAGAATTTCCCAAAAATCCATCTGGTAGTGAGAATAGTTACCAGGGCGAAGGGCATGTTCAGCACTGCAAGTAACATGTCTGCAAAAGCCAGACTGGCAAGAAGGATGTTAATTGCAGATCGCATGGCAGCTTTTTGGTAAACCATGAGGCAAACCACCAAGTTCCCAAGAAAAGACACAACCAGAATAAATATCATTACAGCAAAAAAGAAGATCTGGAGAGGCAAGTTCAGACTCTTAAAAACTGTCGGTATTGTGGGTACAGCTGTGCTGTTTACTGACAAGAAGCTCATCCCAGTGGGAGCCATGGTTTCGAGACTGTACCTAAGCAGCGGACCAATGATGGGATGCTGGAATGGTGGAGGAACCGTAAAATTCATGTAGGTATTTTCATAGACTACAAATGTCGTGTTGGATGATGCCCCAGTATGGGATGCAGTCAACATTGCCGAGAAGACCATGGTTTCGGAAGGACAGGAGGCAAAGGCAGAGAAGGGGATGTTTTTCAAGCATTTCAACACAGAGCAGCAGTATCATGTTCCATTGATGGACTTGGAAACACACTCTGGAAAACAGACAAAGAGTTCCATCATCCACAGGACTCCTTTTGCCTGAAAACAAGCCCAAAACACAAAAAGTAAATGAGAAATGAGTTTTGTAAATAACACATGACATTTTTTCACCACAGAGGATCAGCTTTGCTCTTTTTAACTCTTTAAAAATACTTACATCTCCAACCCTATCAATGCTGAAATATGGTTTTATTTGATTTTTCAGTGAACCATGACGGAAATGTTGACATTCATATATAAACGGAAGTGAACAGAATCTCAAAATGCATTACCATCTCAAAGGTAAAAGTTATAAACTGATTTTTCTGTAATATTATGGTCTTTTTACAGTCACTATTAATAAAGATTTCATCTGGTTTTCCCAAGGTGACTATTTTTTTTCTTAAATAGCTCTTTCATGAAGATCCATATTATATTTTTACATTAATGCAAAACTGATTTGCAAAGAACACTAAACTCATAGCTTTCTATTTAACACATGATAGTTACATTTTAATTCTAATATTCTTATAAGTAGGTGCGGTGTAGTAAATTACATAGTATGGCTTTTCTAGCCATAAGTCTTTGTAAACTCCGTGATGGAATTTGCCATGAACAACTGAGTAGCTCCTGATTGTTAAAGTTATCCATCTGGGGTATTTCTGTTGGGAGCGGCATGAAGTAATTTTCTGGGAAGTCCTCTCTCTCAGATGTATAGAATTCTGATGTTGGGATTGGTTAGTTTGGCCACTCTGCCAGGATCAAAAGGAGCCCTCTTAGAGACAGGAGTCTCTCTGACCACTGGCTAAGAAAGACATGCTGCTGAGAGAAATGTGCTCCTGAGAGACATGCACTTGCTGAGAGACAGACACAAGAGACATGTACTGCTAAGAGAGAGACACAAGAGACACACACTGCTGAGAAAGAGACTTGTCGCTGCTAAGTGAGATAGCTGGCTACAAGAGACTGAGTGCATTTCTAAACTTGAATTGTAGCCTGTTGCTTCCCTAATAAATCCAATAATCTGTCAGTTCTGTGTGGCCACTGCAATGAATTACCAAACCTAGCAGAGAGGTGGTGGGTGCTGCAAGAGGAACAGTTGGTATCAGGGTTGGTGAAAGGGCTGGAGGGAGGCAGCGTGTCTGGCTTCACACGGATAGGCCTCAGGCTACCGATGGTGATTCTGTCTTCCTCTTGTGGGTTTAGAGGAGGTCAGAAGATGTGGCCTCCTTGCCCCTTTAGCAGTAAGTATGTTCAATGAAGGTCTGAAACAATTTCCTGGTTCTCTTCTTTATTTGTTAAGTTTTTCCTCCTGGAAATCCTACCACAAACCATATTGGGGAAACTACTCAAGAGGAGAAAAAAAATTATAAATAATGTATTTGTCTTATTTTGAAGATTTATTTCCTTTTCTTTTTCTAAAGCCCTCTTTGCTTTACATGTTCTCTCTTCTCACTCATTTCTGTCCTTTCTTTTCAGAGCTTCTAACCAGTTTTTCAGCATCTATCAAATATAAATAATATAAATAAACTTATATATTCTCCATTTCTTCTCCCTAAAACCTACCTTATCTTGTGTTAAAAACTTGATAGAAGATGTCAGCCAAAGAGTAAAGATATAACAATGACATGGATGCTGAAGGGACTGCTAGAAAAAATTCCGTTGTGAAAAATCTATTTCAGAAAACTTACAAAGGTATTTAGTTATCTTGCTAAAAAAAATTCCTCCTCTCCTTTCTCTCACCCTTTCTCCCATTATCTTACCAATTTCTGCAACCCTAGAGCTTTCTGGAGGGTCTTTCTTAATCTATTATCTTACTAACCCACCTTTGTGGTGTGGGTTCTTTCTTCTAAAGGTTATTACTGGAGACTTAACACTCTTTAGTCAGAACTCTCTTTGGATTTCTGGGCAGATTCCTTCAAAAGAATCCTTTAGAGATTGGAAAAAAAAACAAATACTCAAAAGTTTAAAACAACTTTGCAATTTGCTTATTATTTGGACTTAGTCATTGTTTTTAGAGGCAATTGCCAAAATTTCCTTTATTCATTTGGGGTAGGGGTAGGTAGGGTGTAGAGGATATCCCATGATCCAATACCGTAGTCAAATCACAGGCTCCCTTTCATACTTCTAACTCTTTACAAATCCTCTCTTGTTGAAGGCTATCTTTATAAATAAGGAGAATATCCATCTCTCTATTAAAAATATTAATTTTACTATTTATTCGCACCTTTATAGCTTAATTTCTTTGGACCTATTAGATTCTATGTATCTTCAAGGGCACTTTAAAACGTGAAACATACTAGATAAGGCATCACACTAGACTAGAAGATAGCAAACGTTAATAACCACCAAGGGGTCATTGGGGAAGGGAAAGAAGTAGTTAGAAGACTTTACCCCATAATCTCTATCACCACATCTTTAAGACTACCCTAAACATACATACAGTTAAAAATAAATCAGCCACAATACAAGGCTACCTCTAGAGAAAAATCGTAATAGGAAAATGTGTTTTAAGACAAATGTAACAACTATAATTGTATTTGACTGAATAAACAAATACAAATACACCTTGAAGTAGTAAAAGCACTTAACTTTCTTGACCATGTTTGGAAGGAAATAGAAGATGGAATACAGTCAAAAGAAAAACATAATTTAAAAGATGCTTTTAAAGTTGTTATACATGCATATATATTCATAATATTGTTTTCTTCTTCCAAAGACTCACATTACTATAAAAAAGACTTCTATTCAATTCATTCAATTATTCATTCATGAAAAATTTATTTAAGAACCTACTATGTGTCACGCACTAGCGAGACAATGATAAACTAACAGTTCCTACATTTCTGATTAAACAGGGAAAACTGACCACAGATATTTCATCATGAAATGTCACTAAACTGCTCATAAACATTTGTTCCTGTTTTTTTTCTTTAACAAGTATATAAATCTAAAAGGTAACAATGAAAAAAATATCAGTAGATAAGAAATTAAAATGAAAACCTTAAGGGCAGAAAGTATATGGTATTTTGGTAATGACTTAACCAAACAGAAGAGACAAATTTCTATCCTCAGTACTTTCAGGGGAATACACTTAAAAGCTGAAAATCCTATAGATTCACAGAGAGACTCTGGGTTGGGAGGTACCACTTATCACAGAAAGGTAGGTAGGGCTTAAAACTGGAAAACTAACTAAAAATTTAACTACAGAGCCACTGGAACCTCCTCCTACCATGGTCTTCTCCTCTCCTCTGAGAAACAACATAGAAGCATATACCTCCATTCCATTAGCCCAATTCTGTGGCACAAGTGACTCTGATAAGCACCAAACATGAAAATACCAGTGCTGAAAATAGGGGGACTGACTGAATGTCTGCACATTCAACATGAGAACCAATTCCCCGCATTCCCCTGGTTTCCGAATTGCCAGAAGCCAGGCATACTACCTATGCAGAAAAGTGAGGGCTCTTCTTTTCCCCAGTGCATAGCCCTAGAGGAAAAACTCTAGACACTAACTAACAACTGATATTAGCCCAAGAAAAATGCTAGCTTGGTGCCAAGTCACCTTAAGCACCAATTGTCAAGCCTAGACCATACACACAGAGCTTCTAACCAGTTTTTCAGCACCTATCAATTGGGCAATCTACTTCTGTAGTGATACTGCCTCAGAAACCCAAGGAGGGGTCTCTATGAGTCAGGTCTGACTTGACGGCATATAACACAACAACATCAAATATAAATAATCAATTTTCCTAATACAGAGAGTCTACAGGGTATTAAAACTAGATTTGTAGCTAAGCAGTAAAGAGCTAGAATTTATGGTATCAGACAACATAGCATGCATATGCTTAGTAATGCCTTTGCCCCAATATCTGTATAAGCGATCTTTTTATTATTCTTATTACCGAAATGTAAATATTCTCTGGACTTCTTTTTCTTACTAAGAAGTGTAATAAACAAAGTAGTGCTTTTGAATTCTCATAGTAACTAGGTCAAAAAATTCTTTCAGAAATTATCATTAAATACTATTATGATTAGAACTTTCTTTGAATTTTAATTAAGACAAAATAAGTATCTTTTGTTTATAACATCTATTTCCAACTTCTGGGGCAGTAACAGCATGATAGACCAACCATTAGCTTAGGTTAGTAGTATTTACACAACAGTGCTGAATGTAATTCTAATTTAGAGTAGTCTGTATCTGGTATTTATTGGAAATGCTTATTACATTTTCTAAGTAAGAAAAACAAAATTTTTTGCATATGTGTAGATGGATAGACTTTTTTTGGGGGGGGAAGGTAATAAGACAGTATTTTTGATCATTGTAAATAACAATTTAAATATTGTTGTGAATATTGTGCTGTAGAATAGCACAAACATGCACATAAAGATATTCACTGCACCGTTATAGTGCAGCAAAAATTATTAGAGACAAACTAGACCCCTTCTAAATATTCATCAATATGATTTAGGAGCCCTGGTGGCATAGTGCCTAAAGTGACTGCTAACCAGAAGGCTGGCGGTTCAAACCCACCAGCCAGTCTCAGAAGGAAGGTTGGGCAATCTACTTCCTTAGTGATAGCGCCTCGGAAACCCAAGGAGGGGTCGCTATGAGTGGGGTCTGACTCGATGGCAGTGTGTTTGTTTGGTTTGGTTTTGGCATGGTAACAATTGAATGAATTGTGATACACACATACTAGGAAACTCTAACCATGTAACTATCACAACAATATGTTAATCTATAGTACTGATACCAGAGAATGTTCATCATATACTGAGTGAAAAAATAAATACCTACAGAATAACATATAACATGGTCCCATTGTTATCTATGTATGTAGACATGTGTATGTATGTATATATAGATATAGACAGATAGATGTGTAGACAGACAGACAGAAGACTACAATCTCAAATTGACAAAAAAAAAGGTTTCTTCTCTGATGTGAAATTAAGGGGTGTAAATAGATTTCCCTTATCTAATTCTGGTTTTGTGGGATTTTTTTACATTAAGTTAGTATTGATCTTTATTCTTCTGTCATACTTTTCTTCACTGCTTT